CAGGACGAAGGGTTTCGATGGCCAGGGTCTGTTGGCCCTGGCTGGGATGGGGGGCTGTGGGTGGTGGGAGTGCCTGCGGACCTCTGCTGTCCCCTGGTGTAAGGCATTGCCAGGTTGCCTTCAGAGAACTCTTTGCAGTGAGTAAAACTAAGCTTGTTAATCTTTCCCTTGTGGGTTGGTTTTTTTTTTTCCCCTGGCATGATCTCCCTTCTACACCTTGGAGCTCTCCTGCCTGTCTGAAAGCCGCATGCAAACCATGAATCCGATTAGAGCTGCAGAAACTGTGGAGTGAACTGTTAATTGGCTTTGTGCCAGGATTGCAACCTGGGGTTCTGCCCTCAGCTCTATGGTTTTGGTGACCAGAGTACTGGGCTTTCTGTGCTGCCCCCTCCTTGCTCTGCTGTATCTTCCTGCATAAGATGGAGGATTTGAAGATGCGCTCCGTATGTCAAATGCTGAGTATTTTATGCTGCTTTTTCTAGAGCAGCAGTGAATATTCTGGAGCTGATTCCACTGCAATAAGGTTATCCGAGGAATATTCTCCATTGCTAAAGCAGGAAAGCTGATTTATATTGACATGACAGTTACATCCATTTAAGCAAGAGGAAATCAGGGCTTTGTAGTGTCTTGGGTGGTTTGAATGCCTATTTTCTTCCCTCCTCCTTGTTTCTTGTATAGAGCCCTCAAAATGGAAGAGGGAGGCAAAAAAAAATACAAGCTCTAAGTAGAATAATTGGGAGACAACCTTTAAACATCCTGCTGATGTCTAGTGCCAATTTCTAATCTGGATGAAAATGTAAACACCTCAGTCCCAGTTCACTTGGCACAGTTTCTCAGTTGTTCCAGGCAACTAGAGCTTGACTTGATGGTGTGTAATGCTTGTGTCTCTTTGCAGGGCCACGATGGGCATCCTGGAATATTGGTGTATTCATCTGTATTCGTTGTGCTGGGATCCACAGGAACTTAGGAGTTCATATATCCAGGGTAAAATCTGTCAATCTCGACCAGTGGACGCAAGAACAGATACAGGTAGTGCGAGTGAAACGTGTGGTGGTGTTCTGTTGGTGGGGCGTGGAAATAAACAACTTCTGAATAGGCCAGAGATGTGGGAGGTGAAGCAGGAAGAGGATATCAAGCTAGGTTAGGCTGGGAGGGAAAAATGTCATGATTTCAGGCTTAGCAGCCATCAGAGGGTAAAGACAAACACTGCAAGTTCCTGTAAAACTGCCAAAGGCGGCTGCTGTCTGGAGCTGCTGCCGACTTCTTCTCCTTGAGGTTTTCAGAAGACAAATCCTGGGCTTCCAGAGTGACATTAGGTTGCTAATGTGATATTTACCTTGTCTTTGAATATTGTTCTGTGGTGCTTAGGATTGGCTAATTGTACAAGGAGGGATCATAGCAACTGCATCAAGGGATTCCCAGCTAGTAGGTTTGTACCAAAAGCTGCAGGAGTGGCTTTCAGGTACAGAACAGACTTCAAAAGTCCACACGTGCCTTCTAGTTAGCACGGATAGACTCTTGCTTGGTAGCCTGGCCTGTGCTAGTATGTGTAAGAGCTTTAATGTCTGTGAAACAAACTGTTCAAGAATTCTTTTAAATTGCAGTGCATGCAAGAGATGGGAAACGGAAAAGCAAATCGTCTTTATGAAGCCTACCTGCCAGAGAACTTCAGGAGACCTCAAACAGACCAGCATCCTTTCATCCTTTGCTGCTGAGGAAACACGGAGTCTTGTTGCTTAGTAGCTGCACCCCTTTCATAGGAGGCCTAATTTCATGTGCTTGGGCATCAGCTGTGCAAATGCACTCCTAGCTAGGCACCCTCCAAGTGTTGCTTCACCCGCGCAGGCTGCTTGCTTACAGAACGAAGCAGAAGAGAGCTAAAAGGATTGCTTCTGAGCTATAAGGGTGGAGAACTGGAACACGAGTGTTACAACCTGAAGCTATTGCATGAGATATGCTTTAGGGTCTGTGGCAAATAGGAGAGTTGACTTTCAAAAGTGCTGAGCACTTCAAATTCTCAGTGGAGACAGATAAAAAGGTTTAAAACTTCTGAAGAATTAAGCTGTAACTTTTACCTTACAGGAGAGCTTCTAGATGCCCAGTGCAACAGGGGTTTAGTGATGTGACCCTAAAGAAACACAAGAGCACCTCTCCACCATCATTTTTGTCTTAAGCTGGTGGCTGAGGCGATTTTGTATGCGCAGGATCCATTTCTCTGACTACTGTGTGATTTGGCCTGTATGCTCTTAAGTGATGGTTGAAGTAAATACACATCAGTGAAGAAAACACACTAGGAATTTAAGCCCTGATTTAGTGTACTTTTTATAGCACAGTTGTGCTTGGAATAACCCAAGGGCAAAAACCAAGCACTAAAGCAGTTGGATCCAACGCTAAATTGTTTTAAGAAAGTTACTCCTGGAAATGCTCTTTAAACAGTCATGAGTTTAGTTACAGGCTGTACCTTGTATCCACATGTCAAATAATACTACGTAAGTCTTCTATTCTTGAATCATTTATCCTTAACAAGCTGCTTGCAGAGCTGTGGAGAGCTTCATTCGGGATAAATATGAAAAGAAGAAATACATGGACCGAAGTATTGACATCAATGCATTTAGGGTTAGTTTGTAATCATTTCTACAGAAGCTTGAATACATGTTAAGATATAAGTGTATGTCTCTCTTATGAGTAAGCGGTGACTCTGTGAAACAGACAGTTTAAACGTTTCCTGTATTAGTGACTAATCTCTTATCCAAGGCTGATTGCATTCAGTCATTCTGTAGAAAGAATTTAAATTGGAGGGGACCTTTGGAGGCAGTCTTGTCTGACTCCTTGCTCAAAGCAGGACTAGCTTCAAATATAGGCCTTTAACTGTATCTTTGAGGCTTTTTAGATTAGTAACAGCATCATGTAAAGCTCTGTATGAACTTTCTGTTGGTATGTTGACATGAGTTTTGACCCTCATGTGTTTTCCATACAGAAAGAAAAGGATGACAAATGGAAAAGGAGTAATGAGCCAGTATCAGAAAGAAAACTGGAACCTATCATCTTTGAGAAGGTGAAAATGGTAAGACCAGAAGGCATGGTCATGGATCAATTGTAAAAACTTCTCTCAAGCAGGACAGAGGTAATCCAGCTTGGTACGGAGGCATTTTTTTCTGGCCTTGGTCAGAGCAGTGGATGCGCTGAGTAACACTAATGGTAGGGGCTTATTTTCCACTGCTCAACCAGATACTAAGCAGATATGTTCTGCTTTGCGATGCAGAGCAGATTGGAATCCTGCTACTCCCTGCTTAGCTTTCCAGCCTGAGCAGTTACTTTTTCCCTAGTTTAGAGCATGCTTAGGTTTGGCAGTGGGTTCCAATATAATGGCACAATAAAATAGCTATGTAATGCTCTGAAATTCTGTTCACTGTGGAATCACTTATGCCCCCTGGGGGAAAAAGGTTTTTAAGGGTTAAAGCCTCTAACGCATCAGAGTAAAACCAAAATTTGAACAAGACTTCTGGTGTTCTTTTTCCCTAGCCTCAAAAGAAAGAAGAAACCCAGCAGTCTAGAAAAAGCTCTCCTAAATCTACTGAACCAGTAATGGACTTGCTAGGACTGGGTAAGAGCCTTTCCAGCCTTATTGCACTTGTTACGGTGACCATCTCTGATCCTGTGAATTTGGTGAGCTTTTAGTACTTATTTTTCATGTCAGGTGAACAATAGCTGATAGGATTACTGTGGTGTTTTGCTTAAACTACTCCAGTGCAACTCGAGCACAGTGCTCACGCTGCAGCAGAAACAGTTTTCCTTTCGTTTTCCTTCATGCTGGTGTGGTGGTTGTGCCTATAGTGTTACAGGAGCAGCTACAGTAGTCTCCAGACAGCGTAGCTCCTCTCTGCTCTGGGGTTAATAGGACAGACATGGTGCAGTGCACTTCCTTGGTCTGGAGCCAGTTCCTTTGCAGCACCAGGGCAAGGGAAGAGCTGGCAATGCGTGGTGGCTAAAGTAGGTTGCGGGTCAGGTCGCTGGGTTGAGTGGCATATGTGCAAACGGCTTAATTGGCAAGGAGGCTGCCCCTCAGCCTGAGGCCATCTGTGAGGGATGTTCACACAGTTTTGTCTCTCCCAGATGCTCCCGTGACAACCACCATTACAAACGGCAGGCCTAGCAGCTTAGAGAAGGATCTTGATCTTTTTGGGTCGGTGGGATCAAACTCTGACTCCAGGAAGGTGAGTAGGGAACATCAGTGCCTGACAAAGCCCAGTCAGATGCTTGAATGAGATGATGTGTGTCTTCCCCTAGTGCTGAATGCAGCTGTTGCACTTGTACGGTCTCTGTCTCAGGTCACTGGGTCTATGCCAACATCTGGAAGTGCTGGTTCTGTTCCTGAAAACCTGAACCTCTTCCCTGAGCCAGGAGGCAAAGGCGAGGAAGCGGGAAAGAAGCAGCTCTCTAAAGACTCTATCCTCTCCTTGTATGGCTCGCAAACACCTCAGCTGCCTGCGCAAGGTAACAGATCTCAGAATAGAGCTGTTGGATGGCAGTACGCTAATTCAGAATGGGTAGGGTGTCCTGGCAGCTGACAAGCAAAGATGTGGGAGTGTAGGTGGTCCTTCTTGAGAACTGGTGAGTAGCATAATGAGCAGCTTGGTCTGGATGTCATGGCCAAGTGAATGTTGTAATAGTCTCCCATTTGAAGGTCGGCATTTCAGCCCCTGACAATGAATGCAGCAGTTCTTCCCTTCATCGCTTCTTTGCCTTTTTTCTAGGAGCAATGTTCATGGCCCCAGCTCAGATGGCGTATCCTGCAGCAGCCTATACTAGCTTTCCAGGAGTAGCCCCCTCCAGCAGCATGATGGGCGGCATGATGGCACCGTCAGTGGGAATGATGGCCCAGCCTGGAGCTGCAGGGATGGTGACTCCCATGGCCATACCAGCTGGATATGTGGGTAATGTGCAGGCAGCTGTCATTGGTGTCCCCAACGGGATGATGGCTGCGCAGCAGGCTGGCTACGTAGCTGGCATGGCAGCAGTTCCCCAACCCGTCTATGGTGTGCAGCCAGCACAGCAGCTTCAGTGGAACATTGCTCAGGTGAGCTGTGATCTGCTGCTGACCCCAAGGTGGCTGGAGGGCAGGGGAGGCATGTGGAATTAAACCTAGCCTGGTACCTGAAGGCTTAGTGCTTTTATAGCCTGGCTCCTGGGGTTGGGTGAGGTCTGCTGATACTGGGGGATCGCAAAGAGATAACTTGGTCAGAGGTCTCAGTGCTTGGAGAGCAAAAATCAATGAAAAAGTCCTCAGCTTGCTAGATGGGCACACACCTGCAAAGCCAGTGACTTCTGTTCACCGTACGTCCTCAGCTTGCTAGATGGCAAGACATACAGGCATACACCTGCAAAGCCAGTGACTTCTGTTCACCGTAACTCTTTAGAAGAACTTGCTTGAGCCTGTAATAGCTTGGGGAGCAAGAGTTTTTTACCTTTGGCTGCTGTGGGCTGCTTGTCAGTCTCCTTGACATAGCCTTGACTTCTCTCCTCTCCTCTCCCCTTTGCAGATGACCCAGCAGATGGCTGGGATGAACTTCTATGGAGCTAATGGCATGATGGGATATGGACAGTCAATGGGTGGAGGAGGCGCCCAGGGAAGCAATCAGTCCCTCAGCACTCAGATGTGGAAATGATCCCTTGCGTTGTGACCATTTTTGCCTTCTGTTCTGTTCTTCAAAACTGCTCCATGAGACATTCAGGGTTTTTTCTTTCTGGCTGGCTGCCCAGCCTGAACCTCTTTCCATAACTGAGACCCATCTCTGCCTTTTCACTGTCAGACACGGTGAAACCTCAGTGACCAGAACATGAGCTCCCCTGTATTTAGCACAGTCAATGCACACTTCTGGGGTGGACCCCCTCCTTGCACAAACCTCCACTAATGCTTCTGGGTAGCACTTAATGTCCTGCTGGGTATCTTGGCAGAGGTGTGACTGAGGAACTTGGGAGATCCATACTTAATACTGCCTGTAGTGTCAGGCCTTTTAAGAATCACCTAAACTCTAGTGTTAGTCGGGGTTTTGGTTAGCAGAGGGGTGGAAACCTTGTTTGGTGCTGAGGAACTGGATTTTAACCCAAGCCCAGGGGCAAGCAAGCCTTGCTACCTCTTCCCTTGAGTGGAGTTCTCCAGAGCTGAGGCCTCGCTGTGCTTGGCTCGCCAACCCTCATTGGAACCAAAGTCATTTGGAAGACCCCTCTCCCTCCCCCCGTGAGCAAGCAGGATTCTCGCGCAGTGTGGGGGCAAGCTGTTTGGAATGTGAAACTTGCACTTCAGAGTGGCTTTTCTGTCTAATATGTGGTATTGATGTATTTAACTTTTAGCAATCTAACTGAGAGTTAACTTATCAAGGGCTGAGAGCCCACTGCAAGTTTTCTTACACTTTTAAAATGACTATGACATCCTAATTTATACTTTTTCATATTTTTTTGTTCCTGTGTAACTGGTACCCTTTCCTGGCTAGCTCTTGACATTTTAATCTAGGCATAGAAAGTGGGTGGGTCAGATTTCTTTTCTCATCTTCAGTAGAACACAACCGCTTAAACTCATCGGCGTGAGCAAGAAGTCAGACTTCTGTGGTCTACTTTATCCTGTGTATATGTAAATTCCCAAATAAAATATTGCAGTGAAACCTCAACTGACTTCTCTTGTTTTTAAACAGCGTAACAGATTGCGTTAAACACTGCTGTCACTGGTGCGAGTTGTTCACTTCAGGTGTGTGGGGATTTGGAGCCTCTCATCCAAATCGGACTAACTCCATCTGCTTTGCAGCAGGGCTGCGTCCCAAATGCCAGGCGAGAACGGTGTTTGCCTGAAAGCTAAGGACTATCAGCACGCAAGGAACCAGGCTCAGCAGAGGCAGAATCAGGTCAGTTGATGCTTTTATATACAAGAGACTCCCAGCTTGGGGGTGGGGGGAACTTAAGTTCTTAGGACTGCAGCTTTACACTAATGTTCAACAGATCCTGACCGAGGCCTATTCAAAAGGTGAGTTTTAAGCTCTTACAAAAAAAAAAGTGGTAACAGTGAGAATAGGAAAGGCTGGGGGCATTTCAGAGTCGCCTAGAGACTGGAGGCCAGTTTTCCCTAGGCTTGTGGGTGGTATGTGCAGCTGCAGGGGAGACAGCTCGGCGAATTGTGTGAGCCTTGGGTTGATGGTGGTCTGCTTGCATATTAATTATGATATTTCTTTCCTCAAGTCAAAACCTGCTCTTTTTGGGGGGGAGGAAAAAAAAGGCGGGCTTCTTCCTCTTCCCCCTCCTCCCCACCGTATCAGCTGGTGGGGGGGAGGGTTGGCATTTTTTCAAGCTACACATGGGGATTTGGGCTCGATGCTTTGAGAAGCTCGACTCAAGCACAGAAAAAAGTTTTCAAGCTGGCTTTAATCATCTTCACTTGCTGCCCCAGTACTGTACATGCAGGTACAAGCCAATGAAAATGTGAATACTTCAGTTTTTTCCTCCTTGGGAAAACTGGCTAAGAATATTTTACAAAATAGCGTGCACTCTCACAGCCGTCAGTCCTGCTGCATATAAACCACAAAAATACAAGAGTTTTACATTAAGAAAGACCACGCACATATAAAACATTACATAACACAGGTAGAAAATTGCCATTTGCTTTTTTTTTAAATCTATTACCATTCTCAAGTGTCCATCACAAGCCCATCCCCTTGTCTTGGACATGGAACAGGGGCTTAAAGGACCCCCTAGTTCACCCCTCTGTGGCGTTTATTTGAAGGTGGAGTTGTTAAACTTAACGAATCTGTCATCAAAGCAAAGTTTATCACAAAATACAAGTGGGCTAGTGAAGGCAGCCAGGTTTTTTCACTAATCCTGGCTTCCAAAAGTACAAAGCTACCTCGGGTGAGCATGTCAGCCCTGTCCGAGTTCTGCACCTAACTCTCCTTCTCCCCATAGGTAACGGATGCACACAGAAAGACGCAAGGTTGACATGTGCCGCTCAGATGGTGAGGTGTCTGCTACCCTTTTTTTCATGAGGGATTGAAGGCCAAGCTTGCAGTAGCAATTAACGCGTGGCTAATGGACTTTTGACGCTCTCCCAATCTAATGGGGCTCTCTTGGTTTAGGCAATTCTTGTCAGTTCTTGTCAATGCAACCTGTTGGGGACTTAATGTGAAGTAGCACAGGTTTGGGTGTCCTTGCGTGGTTGTATCGCGTTTGTGTGATGCACCCCTGTCTTGTCTTGGCCCTCTGAAACAGCTACTGGGGGGGAGAGAGAGGCTGTGGTTAGAAATGGCTGGCTGGGTTGTTCCGGGCGCGTCTCATTGCCTCGTACCTTTAACGATCTTGGACCTTTTTATGTAAATTTTCCATGCCAGTGCGTGTTAATATTCTGCCCCCTTGCCCTTTTTAGGGGGCTAATACTGTTTAAAAGGCCTAGGCTGTGTTTAAAGACTTGTATAGGTAAAATCCCTCATGTGTCTTGTTTGGGAATATAAAATCTGAATTTTTTGACAGGGTGAATGCTTCAGTTTGGGCACTTCTAAAAAATTCATTGCTTTTCTCTGTGTGCTTATGTGGGTTTGTTTTTTTTTCTTGGTGCTGTTAGTAATCAAAATTTAAGGACAAAGTTCAGTTCAAACTTGGAGCTGCTACTTTACCAAGTGTTGTTATTAAGACACATATATATGTGTTTATATTTGAGGTATAAACTGAGATTAATGACAGATTCTTGAGTCCTGGACAATATCTTAAATGGTCCAGGTGCCTTTTCATCACTTAATTTTTGAGGTGGGGAATAGGACAACATGATGGGGAAGATTGTTTAGTTTTAACTGCATGAAAAGATCAAGCCCTTTTAAGAAAACAAGGCCACCAACTTCAAAGTGCTAACATTCAAGAGGCATCCGCTGCCAGGGTCCCTGGCCGGTGGGGTACAAGGAGGGGGGTGCTGCTCCGTCCAGAGGCCCTCTGAGATCAAGCATTGCTTCTCGGTTCTCACTGCAAATATTAGGGCAAAGCTCCCTTTTTTTTTTTTAGCAAGTACTGGGATCTAGCAGATATATACAGACAGCGATCCTGTTAGGAAATGGGATCCACGCTTGGTACCTGTCCTCCCGCTGCAGGGATTATACCCTTTCTGCTGCCTCCTGATGCTCCCTCTCTCCATCCCCACTACAGGCAAAAGCTTCAGTGAGGGTTCACTGCCCCTCGGAGAGCAGCAGCGCTGTCCTCAGCTCCTCACATCCCAGATGCTCGCCTCCTCGCCGGCCCGTTGTGGGAGGGGAGGTCTGCTAGGGGAGCAGGACTGCAAACACCCGCCTGCATCGGGCTACGGGGCAGCCTTTGGAGGGCTGGTAATCTGCGTGGGTTTTAATGGGAGAGATGAGAGGGGGGTACCTACTGTCCAGCCGAATCATCCCTCCCTCCAGAGAAGCACTCTGGCCTCTCGCTTCCCTTGCCCTTTAGCTCAGCGATCAATAGTGCAAGTGCTAAACGAAGCAGAGGTTGGGCTCGCAGGAGCCAGCGTGGGAGCAGGTGGTAAATGCACACCCCGTATAATTGCTCTTCATTGCACAGTTACAACAAAAAAATAACCTGAATGTGACAGAGTGCACTAAGCTCTGGTTCTTAAAAAAAAAAAAGGGGTGGGGGGGAAGAATGAGGTATACCAAAAATCAGAGCCGCAGACAGGCACAGTGGTCGCACCAGCTCTTGGGTTGTGGTGGCAGCTGCTAAACCAAGCTGCTTCCTCCTGGATTCCTGGGTGCTACCGTGCTCCGATCCGGTGTCTGTGCCCGAGGCAGATGATCGGGGTTAAACAGTGTGGCGGTTATTTGGACAGCAAGACAAACACATAGGCCCTTTACTGTACATTTTCCCAAGTCTCCTTTTAAAAGCTCCGTCTGCCCCAAATACGGACCAGCTTGGCTGGGGGCGAGTGTTATCACATCTGGTCACTGAGTGTTCTGTACCACTGCAGCTGCATTACATGGAGCACATCTTTACCCCACCGATTCCAGCCACGCTTACTGCAGACACTTCTTTTTCCATAGGAAGTCTTTTCTGCAGCCTTTCAACCTTCTTTTTAGCTCATAAACGCAACGCCTACACCTCTATCAGCCAAGGGTTGGGGTGTTTTCTATGCTTGTGAATGGGAAGTAGAAGGAAGACTTCCAGTTGAAACAGCTTTGCTAGAGAAACGCTGGCGCGGGCCCTCGTGCCTTCGTACATCACGGGATGTGAACCTTGCTTTTACGGAAGGGAATCTTACAGATCTGTCTGGAGGCTTGAAAACCCAAGGAAAAGCAGAGAGAGCTCTTAATATCTTTTTCCATCTGTGATGCAAAGCACATTTAGACTTTGAATTCAGCCATCAAGAAGAACGGTGCCTGAACACCGTTCCTTGACCTTTTAAAATGCAGTTATTTTCCAAATCAATAACCGAACGCACACCCTGAAGGAAGCTTGCAGATGCGCCTTGTCCAAGCGTTTCACATCCATCGGGGAAGAAGCCTGTCTGAGTCAACTAGAAGAAAACAGAAGGTGGGCGCTCTCTGCCTGAAAAAACATCACTGGTGCTGTTTTTATAAATGGTCTTATATCAGTGAAGACCCTTAAATCGTACTCGCTGCTGCTGAGTATTTGCAAGCCCACTTAAACAAGCAAAGGTAATTAAGTGCATTAACTCCTGTCACGCGCACCGATGTGCGCACACACGTACAAATGCAGGCTTGGCTTTTCAAGTCTCACCGCTGCTAGAGCGGGCGTGTAAGACAGCGAACAGAAGTGATTCCCTGGCAGCATAGGGAATCCTGATCCCACTCCCGGAGGAATTTCTGGTCTCGTATTTGCGATGGAGAGCTAACAGCTGTAACTGCTGCTGGAGAAAAGGTGTTACGAGCTGGAAAAGGTGGTTGTGGAGGGAATATTTCCCACCATCTCAGTTGCTCTGTGGCATTTTCCGAAGCCGCTTAATAGGTTTAGTTCTCTGGTTGCTGGCCAGGTGATTGGTTCTGTATCTCACCTGATTTCAGGAAAGCCATGTCTATAAGCATCCTCTCCCCATGCCTTCAGTGTGCTGTGACATTGATGAACAGGAGCTAATTTCCGATTGAGCCCAGAAGCCTGGCCCACCTTCTGGTACCCTAGAAAATTTTCAGTCGCTTGACTTTGGCAAGTAAAGCCCATTCCAGGCTTGTAGAAAACCCAGGGATAACTTAGGCCTGGGCGTGAAATCACACAGTTTTCTGTGCTTCGCTGCGTGGCTGAGACAGTTTTGTTTTGTTTTGTTTTTTTTACTAGAGTTTAGGGGATGCTTAAGTATCGTTGCAAGGCTATTTCGGCAAAATCCATCCTTGTTACTCAAATTGGGTGCCTTGATTCTGACACCAGCATCTACTGTCGGCTGTAAGGCCCTCTGGGTCTCGGGTGGGTGCTGCGTGCTACTTGCTGCTGGGAGTGCTGGGTATGAAACGGGCTGCAAAGCTGATTCAGTTTAATGTTAACTATTCTTTCTAGGGGAAAATATCTGGAAAGTCGAATGGTTTGAATTTCCGTTCCTGATGGAAGGTGGAAAAAAAGGGAGGAAATAACCTAGCGGATAATACCTAGACAGTGCAGCCACCTTTTGCAAATCATATAGTACATTAAAAAAAAAAATTTAAAAATGCCCTTTGCAATAAAACGTTCCCCCAGGAAATAAACCTGGAGGCCAGAAGCTTGTGGGTTTTCTGGTGTGTCGTGTGTAGAAAGCAACCGGGTGTCTTGGCTTCTTTGTTCTTGGTGTTCGAGGAACAAAAACATCCAACACGTGGTCTCGCGCACTCAAGAAGGAGCTGATGTTGCAGTGCAAACGTGGCACGCTTCGGCCTCTTCTCCCCTTTCCTTTTTCCACACAAGTGTAAGGTGGGTCCTGACCCAGATGCTCCCCCAGAGGAGCGAGTACGGGCTCCCTGGGGGGCTGGGCGGGTAGTGTTGGAAAGTCTGATGGGTTGAAGGCTTGAAAAGTTGAAGGGTTTGGTGGATTTCCGTTTGGCTAGCGAGTGGCAGTCGCTTGAAGTCACTGGCACAGTGGCTCCACTTTGCTGGGCTCCCAAGGAGCAGGGGGAATCAACCCCAGGATTGCAGCAAACGAGAATACACGGCGGAGCAAGAACTGGGGTGCAGTCTGTTCTGCTGTTAGCTACGCTCTTACCCTCCCATGCATCCTCAGTCTGATTGATGATAAAAAATAAGCTGAAGAATTTGGGTTTTCCGTGTTCCCTGGAGTACCCAGGTGTGCTTTCCAGAAGATGGTTCTTTCCTCTGGATTTTCCACATGCCAGCAAGGGTTTTTCCGGTGAGCCTTTCGCTAGACCTCGGGCATCGGCTGCTGTGGGTGCGCGCCCGGCTCTCCCGGGTTCCTGCTGCTCTTCTCTGCTCTTCTTCTCTGTCTCGGGAAAATCCTCGCCTTGCTCGCAGAGAGGGGGAGCAGCAAAGCTCTGCAGCTCGCTGGAGAAATGTGCAGCTGGCGAGCTGGAAGGGGAAGGGGGTGGGATGCTGCCTCCACACCAGCGAGCAGAAAATACCCACCGAGCTCCCTGCTCTGCCCACGCTGCCGTTCTGCTTCCCGGTGGACATGGTTGTTGTCCCACCGCAGGCAGATTTTTCCATTTTTCTGTTGAAATAGAGCTGGTAAAGCAAAAGCAAATAACATCAGCTTGAAGGAGCAGAAAGCTTTTCCTCTTAAGATGCCTTCCCTCGCGTATATTCAAAAATCCAGCGTGCCAGGGCAGAGAAAGCTTAGAGGTCAGTGACTCCTGGATGAGGCTAACTGCTTCGTGCTCTGGCGGGAACGTCGTGTTCGAAGCTTTGTTTATTCCTGTTCCAGTGGCCAGGGCGCCGAGTTTGCTTCCTCAAACCCCTCGAGCCTGTCAGCGCGTCCCGCGGTCCTGTGCATTGGCGCGAGCTGAGAGCGCAGCGCCTGTAGCTGGAAAAAGCACTTTACCGCTCTAGCAGGCGAGGATTTAATCTTCTACAAGGCAGGCAGAGACCCCTCTCCATCCCCCGTTGGCAGCAGCCAGCCCGCTCTCTTCTCGGAGGTCTGCTGTGATTTTGGTTTGGTAAAGATCCAAAGCAGCTGAAAATCCTTGACGCGGTGTCGCTGAAGTCGTGGCGGTGTTGGCTAAACCAGCTGCCGAGCGGTGGAGCTTTGCTGAGCCCCGGGTTTGGGTTTGCGGAGGGGGGGGGACAGCTCCGTCACAACAGTCTTGTCCTTCAGGTTTGGATTTGTTCCGTTGCGGCAACAGGGTCGAGCTGGTTCATCGTTCCTGGCGTCACCAGGAGAACCGCAGGTTGGTTTTGTTGTGCTCTGTGCATTGTGAAATCTTCTGCTTTGCCAATAAATAATGGTAAAAAAAATCCCAACTGTGCTGTGGGTTGATTTGTGTTAAAGACTGAAGGTCAGAGCCATCGGGTCGGTAAAAATTCCCCATTAATCTTTTGTCCTCTTCCAGTCTCAAGGCTGCTCGTCTCTTGGTGTGTTGGTTTTTACTTCTCTCTTTTGGAAACTGATCCTTCAGGACAGTCACTGTGTTAAGTGTATTTTATGAAGAAACCAGAGTTTCTAGTGGTGTCTCCCCTGAGTATTTTCAGCAAATTTCATTAGGCACCTTCAAAAAAAGCTTCCGTAATTCTCGGGTTTGCTACAAGAACTGGTCCCTCAGGGGGAACCAAAATGCTGCTTTAAAAACAAACAAACAAAACATACAAACAAAACAAAAAAAAAAAAACCACAACACAACCCAAAACACTCATCCTGATAACAAATTCGAAGCATCTAGTCCTTTGTTCGGAACCTCCCAGTCACCCTAATTCCAGATCAGTAGAAGATGCTGTTGAGATGTTCCCCTGTAGCGTACCAACAAGTCGAGAGTTGGAGAAAGGCGCGTCCTGCTGCGGGGCCTGGCAAACCCTCTGCTCCTTCTTGAAATTCAGGTATTGACCCCAGACTCCAGGAGGGCATCCCAGGAGAGCATCCCAGGCCCCAGGAGAGCATCCCAGACCTGGAGCTGGCCCTCACGGGAGGAAGGGGCTGGGAGCCAGACCATCAGCCAGCATCACGGTACTCCTGCTCCGCCGGGTCACCTTCTCCTGACTCAGATTTTTCACGCGAGGCATCACAGAGTTTATATTTTGGGTCTTGCTTTGGCCGTACAAGACCACGGTCAGTGGTGGAACACGAGGATAAGACCAGCATGTGCTTAGGTGAGGTGAGTGCACCTTTTCCTGTTCTCTCTGGCTTTGGCAATGTCACTGGTCACAGGCTACATGCTACCAAAAAAAAACAAATTTAAAAAAAAAAAAAAAAAAATTGGCCACCAGAAGTGCTTGCTCGGTGTCGCAGGGTTGGTGTCAGAAAACGAACAAGCGGGAAGTGGCTGGCAGATGTTTCCGGGCAATCCGGAGTCTCTTAGATATTGCAGAGAGTGAGTGTGTTGCTAGCACGTGGCAAGCTACATAATAGAAGATGCTACATTCCTTGGAGAAAAAAAAAAAAAAAATACAGCTGAGTTGGATTTTTTTTCTGAGGTTTTTTTTTTTCCTTCTGTGAAAAGCTACCTTTTCCTCAGAGGCAAGGAAATGAAATCGAAGGAAAAGGAACCTCGTCGACATGCGGCTTGCAGCGGCGCCGAATGAATCAGAGCTGACGCAGTCACAGGGCGGCCAGGAGAGAAGCGCGGCGCGCGGCGTCCTTCCCGACGGGGTGGCGGGACGAGGTGCGGTAACAGTCTCGGGATCGGTCGGCCCTCGGTCTGCCTCGTGGTGGGTGGGTGGGGGGGGGTTTTTTTTTTTTTTTTCTCCTTCCCCCT